TTCATAACTGCCAAAGCTTGGAAGGAACCAAGAAACTTGGAAGTTCACAAACCAAGTTGTTGAACTGAACTCTGGTATATCCAGACAATGGAGTATTATTCAATGCTGAAAACAAATGAGCTATCAACCCATGAAAAGACACGGAGAAACCTTTGGTGCGTATTATAATACTAAGTGGAAGACTCAAATACGAAAAGCCTACATACTGGCCGGGCGTGGTGGCTCACGCCTGTAATCCCAGCACTTTGGGAGGCTGAGGCAGGCAGATCACAAGGTCAAGAGATAGAGACCATCTGGCCCACATGGTGAAACCCTGTCTCTACTAAAAAAAAAAAAAAAAAATACAAAAATTGACTGGGCATGGTAGTCCTCTGCCCACCCCCACAGCATACTTGGGCGTGACCTCCAGCCTTTTGTTGCCATCTTTAGTTCGTGTGCATTCTGCTGGCGCAGTAAATCAACCACTATGACACGGTTTTGCAAAAGAGAAAAGATTTATTCGCAAGGGCACTGAGCGGGGATGTGGGACAACATCCCTCAAATCCACGTCCCCCAAAGATAAGTGACAGCTTCGTTCTGTGCGAGCATGGCTGGAGTTCATGGCATTTCACAGGACACATGTACAGAAAAGGGTAGCATTAGCATGAGCTGAAGGCAGAGTTTTTGGCCCTCCAATGTCAAAAGGCCACGTTTTGGGCACTTGCGCAGGCCCAGTTGAAGGGTTGGTGGTCTCAACCAGTTTGAACTGGACAGGAGCTGACCCAAGTTCCTGAAAAACGACCGAAGAAGCTGTGACCATGGTGGCTTCCGCATGTTATCTATACAGCAGCCAGGGAAGGTTAGGTTTCGGCATTCAGCGGCAAGGCTTTCAGCTACGGTGGCCCTTAAGCTTCACAGAAAAAGGAGAAGAAAAAAAATTAAAAACCAAGCGACCCAAAAGCAAAAACCCAAAAGCCCCCTCCCGCTGCAGACAGACCCTTTACCACTGATGCCAATCATTAAAGCGATCTGTCGCGGTTTAGTGCATCACTGCACTCCAGCCTGGGCAACAGGGCGAGACCCTGTCAAAAAGGAAAGGAAAGGATAGGAAAGGGGAAGGGAAGGGGAAGGGGAAGGGGAGGAGGGAGGGAAAGAAAGGAAGAAAATAAAAGAAAGAAAAAAGAAAAGAAAAGAAAATGCACAGCGAGCTAGATTTGGCCTGGAGGCTGTAGTTTGCCAACTCCTACGCTGGATTCATGGATTAGAGTTTAAGGAAGAGATGGAGAAGTATGGCAGAAGAACTGGAGTGAGGCCCAACCCCATGGTGTTCTAGAAGAAAGGCTCTTGACACAGGCATCTGGCAGTTATTTTTCAGGGGAGAACCTACAAATTAGAAGGCTGTACAGCTCCCCTTACTAGTCAAGTGATTACACTTTTGTTTTATTTTTTTTTTAGAGACAGGATCTCCCTCTCTCACCCAGACTGGAGTGTGGTGCCGCAGTCACAGCTCACTGCAGCCTCGAACTTGTGGGCTCAAGTGATCCTGCCTCAGTTTCCTGAGTAGTGGGACTACAGACACACTCCACCATGCCTGGGTAATTGCTTTTAGTTTTTGTAGACATGGGGTCTCCTTGTGTTGCCCAGACTGGTCTTGAACTCTTCGCCTTAAGTAATCCTGCCACCTTGGCCTCCCAAACTGCTGGGAGTGAACCACCATGCCCGGCCCCGTGTGACTACTCCTACAGAGGCCCTCGATGGCCTGGAATGATTGATTCCAGGACTCTGTCTTCTCATCCCAAAGCACCAAACCCTACTGATAAGGAAAGGGCCCCCGTTTCAGAACTCCCATGGCCACCCCCCAACGCACAGCCCTGGGATTGGTAACTTTGCAACCTGGGCTTCCCCGATAATCAGATTTACGGTAAGACCCCAAAGAGGTCCAGGCGCTTCTAAAACAAGTTATACGAGAATCTAAACCCAAATCCTCAAGATGTGAGCCCACATCACATCCCCCAAAATGGAGCATCCGTGACCACTCCAGCCTTGCTAGGGACACAGCATATTCCTTGACCCTCACCACTACAGAGGGCAATTGCATTCACAAATGTCCACTGGTTCTCACGCACTAAGCAAACTTTTATGGCCTTAATTGACACTATTTCCACAAAGACCCCACTAAATGTAAGGGAGGAACTCCCTCTGTTCCCTGGGGCATAAGATTGAGGTCAAACAAGTCCGCCTCACCCTGATCACTGGTGCAATAGCTTTGCAGAATATTCCAGTGGTCTCAGTTCTTTCTGCTCTTGAATTTCCATCACTGGGATGGATGCTCCAATTGGAATAAAACCCACACTTTGTCCCTTACTGTTGGTCTTGGCGGACGAGACCCTGAAGACCTGCCCAAGCCATTAAAATCATTAATATGACCCAAAATACATTAAAACAGGGACTTCAGGGATTGAGAGAAGGGGTGACTATCCCCTCTGTTTCTGCATTTAACAGCCCGATTTGACATGCTCTTCCAATGGAAAAGAACAAATGGTATCTCACAGTGGATGCTGAAACCTTAATCCAGGGGGCCATGGAGGCCCCAGCCCCAGCAGGCTGAAAGGATGGAGCCCATTCAGTCTTTTGCTGTCCAATATTTTGCTATTTTTGCTTCCTTGCAGTGTTCCACAGTACCTAATTCAACAGCCTCTCAGCCTCTACTCCCATTCTATTTATTGTGGTAAAATATATAACAAAATTTACCAATTTAACCTTTTTCTTTTTTTTTCTTTTTCTTTTTCTTTTTTTTTTTTTTTTTTGAGACATGATCTCAGTCTGTCACCCAGGCTGGAGTACAGTGGTGCCCTCGCAGATCACTGCAGCCTCAACCTCCTGGGCTCAAGGGATCCTCCCACCTCGGCCTCCTGAGTAATTAGGATTACAGGCTTAAGCCACCGTGCCCAGCCTATTTTAATAATTTTTTAAATTTAAATTTTATTGTATTTTTTAAAATTTTACTTTAAGTTCTGAGATTCATGTGCAGAACGTTCAGGTTTCTTACACAGGTATACACATGCCATAGTGGTTTGCTGCACCTGTCAACCTGTCATCTAGGTTTTAGGCCCTGCATGCCTTAGGCATTTCTCCTAATGCTATCCCTCCCCTTGCCCCCCACCCCTAGCCAGGCCCCAGTGTGTGATCTTCCCCTCCCTGTGTCCATGTGTTCTCTTGTTCAACTCCCACTTATGAGAACATGCGGTGTTTGGTTTTCTGTTCCTGTGTTAGTTTGCTGAAAATGATGGCTTCCAGCTTCATCCACATCTCTGCAAAAGACATGAGCTCATTCTTTTTTATGGCTGCTTAGTATTCCATGGTGTATATATGCCACATTTTCTTTATCCAGTCTATCATTGATGGACATTTGCGTTGGTTGGTTCCAAGTCCTTGCTATTGTAAATAGTGCTGCAATCAACATACATGTGCATGTGTCTTTATAGTAGAATGATTTATAATGCTTTGGGTATATATCCAGTAATGGGACTGCTGGGTCAAATGGTATTTCTGGTTCTAGATCCTTGAGGAATCGCCACAATGTCTTCCACAATGGCTGAACTAATTTATACTCCCACCAACACTGTCAAAGTGTTCCTATTTCTCCACAGCCTCGCCAGCATGTTGTTTTCTGACTTTTTGATAATCGCCATTCTGTTTTTGTTTTGTTTTGGTTTTTGTTTTTGAGACGGAGTCTCGCTCTGTCACCCAGGCTGGAGTGCAGTGGCGCAATCTCGAATCACTGCAAGCTCTGCCCCCCAGGTTCACGCCATTCTCCTGCCTCAGCCTCCCGAGTAGCTGGGACTACAAGTGCCTGCCACCTCGCCCGGCTAGTTTTTTGTATTTTTAGTAGAGACGGGTTTTCACCGTGTTAACCAGGATGGTCTCAATCTTCTGACCTCGTGATCCACCCGCCTTGGCCTCCCAAAGTGCTGGGATTACAGGCATGAGCCACCGCACCTGGCCCCTAATAATCGCCATTCTAACTGGCATGAGATGGTATCTCATTGTGGTTTTGATTTGCATTTCTCTAATGACCAGTGATGATGAGCTTTTTTTCATATGTTTGTTGGCCACATAAATGTCTTCTTTTGAGAAGTGTCTGTTCATATCCTTTACCCACTTTTTGATGGGGTTGTTTTTTTCCTGTAAATTTGTTTAAGTTCCTTGTAGATTCTGGATATGAGCCCTTTGTCAGATGGGTAGCTTGCAAAAGTTTTCTCCCATTCTGTAGGTTGCCTGTTCACTCTGAGGATAGTTTCGTTTGCTGTGCAGAAGTTCTTTAGTTTGATTACATTCCATGTGTCAATTCTGGCTTTTGTTGCCATTGCTTTTGGCATTTTGTCATGAAGTCTTTGCCCATGCCGATGTCCTGAATGGTATTACCTAAGTTTTCTTCTAGGGTTTTTATGGTTTTTGGGTTTTACATTTAAGTCTTTAATCTATTTTGAGTTAATTTTTGTATAAGGCATAAGAAAGGGGTCCAGTTTCTGTTTTCTGCATGTGGCTAGCCAGTTTTCCCAGTAGCATTATTAAATAAGGAATCCTTTTTCCATTTCTTGTTTTTGTCAGGTTTGTCAAAGATCAGATGGTTGTAGATGCGTGATGTTATTTCTGAGGCTCCTGTTCTGTTCCATTGGTCTATATATCTGTTTAAAAATATGGAACGCTTTGGTCAGGCATGGTGGCTCACGCCTGTAATCTCATCACTTTGGGAGGTCGAGGTGGGCGGATCACGAGGTCAGGAGATCGAGACCACCGTGAAACCCCATCTCTACTAAAAATACAAAAAACTAGCCGGGCGAGGTGGCAGGCACTTGTAGTCCCAGCTACTCGGGAGGCTGAGGCAGGAGAATGGTGTGAACCCGGGAGACAGAGCTTGCAGTGGGCCAAGATGGCGCCACTGCACTCCAACCTGGGCGACAGAGCGAGACTCCATCTCAAAAAATAAAATAAAATAAAATAAAATAATAAAATAAAATAAAAACATGGAACGCTTCACAAATTCGCGTGTCGTCCTCGGGCGGGGCGATGCGAATCTTCTATCATTCTGATTTTAGTATATGTGTTGCCGAAGCGAGCACTAATTTAATCATTTTTCAGTGTACAGTTTATTGACATTAAGTACATTCACAGCCATCTATTTCTAGAATCTTTTCATCATCTGAAACTGAAACTCTGCACCTATTAAACACTAATTCCCACCCCTCCCAGCCCCTGGTAACCACGGTTCCACCTTCTGTTTCTACAAATTTTTTTGTCTTTTTTCTTTTTTTGAGATGGAGTCCAGCTCTGTCGCCCAAGCTGGAGTGCAGTGGTGCGATCTCAGCTCACTGCAACCTCTGCCTCCCGGGTTCAAGTGATTCCTCTGCCTCAGCCTCCTGAGAAGCTGGGACTACAGGCGCATACCACCATGCCCTGCTAATTTGTTGTTGTTATTGTTGTTGTTGTTCATTTGTTTTCTTTGAGATAAAGTTTTGCTAGCCACCCAGGCTGGAGTGCAGTGCCAAGGCAGTGGCGCAGTCTCGGTTCGCTGCAACCTCTGTCTCCTGGGTCCAAGTGATTCTCCTTCCTCAGCCTCACAAGTAGCTGGGATTACAGGCACGCACGACCACGTCCGGCTAATTTTTGTATCTTTAGTAAATTTTGTATTTTTTGCATTTTTGTATTTTTAGTAGCATGTTGGCCAAGCTGGTCTCGAACTCCTGACCTCAGGAGTGATCCACTCACCTTAGCCTCCCAAAGTCCTGGGATAACAGACATTAGTCACCAGGCCCTGCCTCTCTCTACAAATTTGACTCCTCTAGTTACTCCACATACGTGGAACTGCACAGTATTTGTCGCTGACTTCTGGCTTTCCTCACCTGGCTATGCCTACTTTGGGGGATAATCTGGGCCTGGGACACCAAATCCCTGTAGCAGGCCCCACTGGGCTGCACAATCAGAACTGCACGGAAGTTCCCCCAGACTGTTACCCACACTTGTTTAAGCTCTTCAGAGATGCTACCGGCCGGGCGTGGTGGCTCGTGCCTGTAATCCCAGCACTTTGGTGGGCCGAGGTGGTCAGATCACTTGAAGTCAGGAGTTCGAGACCAGCCTGGCCAACATGGTGAAACTCCATCTCTACTAAAAATACAAAAATTAATCGGGCGTGGTGGCGTGCGCCAGTAATCCCAGCTACTCAGGAGGCTAAGGCAGGAGACTTGCTTGATTCCGGGAGGCAGAGGTTGCGGTAAGCCGAGATTGCGCCACTAAACTCCAGCCTGGGCGATAGGGTGATACTCCGTCTCAAAAGAAAAAAAAAAAAGTGGTACCGGCCCGGTGCGGTGGCTCACCCCTGTAATCTCAGCACTTTGGGAGGCTGAGATGGGAGGATGTATTGGGCCGGGGCGGGGGGGAGTGGGGGATGGAGGCTGCAGTGAGCGGTTGTTGAGTGACTGCGTCCAGCCTGGGCCACAGAGTGAGGCCGTGCCTCAAAAAGAAAAAAAAAAAAAAAAAAAAAAAGCAGCAGATACCCATCCAGCCACCAGATGGCAGCACGATCCCATGTCCCCCTCGCCGCTGGCTGCCTGGTGCCGGCTGCAGTCCTAACGGCGGTTCTGAGCTCCAGGGGCCGGCGCCGCGCGTGCCTGAGGTCCCAGCTGCTCAGGAGGATGAGGCAGGAGAATCGCGTGACCGGGAGTCCTGTGCTGTAGTGCGCTGTGCTGATCCAGGTCCGCACTGAGGCCGGCATCGGTATGGTGGCCTCTGCCACCAGGCCGCCTAGGGAAGAGGGAGGCAGCCCCAGTGGAAAACGGAGCGCGTCGGTAGTGGCATCGCGCGTAGTGGCATCACGCGTAGGAATAGCCTCTGCGCTCCAGCCAGGTTGACCTGCCGAGACTTCGCCTCTAAAACCAGCAAATACCAGGAGGCTGAGGGACGAGGATCGCTGGAGCCCGGGAGGTTGCAGTGAGTAGCTGGGATTACAGGCAGGCGCCACCACGCCCGGGTAATTTTTGTATTATTAGTAGAGACGGGGTTTCACCATGTTGGCCAGGCTGGTCTTGAACTCGCAGCCTCAAGTGATCCACCCTCCTCGGCCTCCCAAAGTGCTGGGATTACAGGCGTGAGCCACTTCGCCCGGCCAAATAAGTAATTAAAACAATTTGTTTTTTATTTCAGAAAAAAATAAACTCATAAGGGAGGCCCCCCGACACACACACGGGAAGCAGCAGTGTAAATGGAATGCCCACTGCTGAGGCTCTCCAATGAGTGTCACGTGTGCACATTTTGCCCCTCACAATGCATGTCAGACTATTAATAGGAAGCGCCGCTGGAATACCTCCTGCGGGGTGTATGCAGCAGGCAGCTTTGGAATCACTGTATCCCCAGTGTGACGCCAGGACAATGGCTTCTTCACTAGCTCTGTCCAACCACAGTCCTGTGGTTTCAGGACTCCCTCACAGATGTCTCGAGGTCCATTATTGGGCAAAGGTCACTGCAAACTCAGGGAGGCCCAGGAGCTCACCCCAACCAGCTTCTTTACCAGGTGACTGACCTCAGCCCTGCAGCTGGACTCATCCAGACCATGACCTCACCCGAAGATGGATGACACCTGACCACCGTCCACACAACTGAGCTGGCCCCAGGTCGACTCCTCCACACCCTGCTTCCTACTGTAACCCTGTCAAAGGCCTTCCTCCCACCTTCCCACTCCTCCTCTTCCTCCCTAGCAGCCCAACCACCACAGATTCACTAGGTGGTTTTCAACTCTTGCAGGCTGCCCTCCTAACCCTAGCCCTGACCTCTGCCCTCCTAACCCCAGCGCTGACCCCACTGCTTCTCAGGAGGCTTTGCCAATCGTCTGCATGTTAGCTCCACCCACGGAACAGGCCTATTTTCCTTTTTTTTTTTTTTTTTGAGGCGGAGTCTCACCACCCAGGCTGGAGTGCAGTGGCTCAATCTCGGCTCACTGCAAGCTCCGCCTCCTGGATTCACACCATTCTCCTGCCTCAGCCTCCTGAGTAACTGGGACTACAGGTGCCCACCACCTCGCCCGGCTAATTTTTTTTTTGTATTTTTAGTAGAGACGGAGTTTCACCATGTTAGCCAGGATGGTCTCGATCTCCTGACCTTGTGATCCACCCGTCTCGGCCTCCCAAAGTGCTGGGGTTACAGGCGTGAGCCACCGCATCCAGCTACAGGCCTATTTTCAAGCATACTAGCTGTTGGGTGTGTCGCTTACCTGTGCATATGACAGCCAATCCAACCCACCTAAATGAAGCATTCATGACAGCACAACTCCATCCATGTATGTGGCTGACCACATCTCCAAACCATCTTCCCACTGGGGACAAATTCTTGGATTTTTTAGAGACAGGTTCTCACTCTGTTGCCCAGGCTGGAGTACAGTGGTGCGTCTCAAACTCCTGGGACCAAGGGATCCTCCCACCTCAACCTCCGGAGTAGCTGGGACTGCAGGTGCACACCACCACCATGCGTGGCTAAATTTTTTATTTATTTATTTATTTTTTAGAGAGGGGTGTCGCTGTGTTGTCCAGGCTGGTTTTGAACTCCTATCCTCAAATGATCTTCCCACCTCCGCCTCCCAAAGCACTGGGATTTTAGGTGAGAGCCACCAATCTCAGTCAAAATTTTTAACTAAACTCAACTAAACAAATGAACAAACAGAAAAGACTCTCAAACCACACACTGTCCTCTCTCACCCAACAGAGACAAGATGTCTATAAACCACCAATCTGTTTAAAAAGATCACCAAATGGTCAGACCATGAAACTGAAAGAATCAAAATAAAATTGTCACTATGCTACCAACGGACAAAAGCCGGGAGCACACGACCAGGGGTCACACTCACTGAAGGTCCCCCACCCTGATTGCCAGTCAGGGGCAGCTTGTGGGTCTCAGAGAGGGCTCACCACCTGGTCGCAGTCATTGGGGACGGAAAGGTAAGTCCAACCCGTGCCACATCAAGGCACAACGACTGTTGGGGGAATGCACCAGACACATAAGGAGATGACTTTATTCAGGCTACTGGTGTGGGAAGAAAATTCACTGATGAGGAAGGAGCGGCCCAACAAATAAGAGACTCATGCTGAAGGCTGGAGGCAGGGTCTTGGAATGGACAAGAGCAAAGTGCTTCTTCTGGGCTCACTATTTCTCAGAACACAAAGGAAGGGGCAATTTCTCAGCAAGCACCATTTCCCCGGAGCCCAGGGCTGAGACGAATTTCAGTACTGCCAGCAGCCTCCGTGTTCTGGTGTGTGGAGGAGTTTGCATGTTCCCAGTGTGTGTTCCCATTGTGTCTTGGTGTTTCTGTGTGCCTGGTGGCATGTTTGTATGTGTATTTGCAGGGTGAAAGACCACAGATATGAGCCGAACTCCTGTACTCAAGTGCGCCTCCTGCCTTGGCTTTCCAGAGTGTGGGGATGACAGGCGTGAGCCACCACACCAGGCCTCATGATCTGTTTCTAGCGCAGTGAGTGCATTTTAGGGTGGGTGCCCGCCTCCATGCCTAGTAGGGTGTGGATGCTGTGTATGCCGTCTGTCCGTAGGATGGGTACACTTCTGTGTGTCGGCTGACGTGTGTGTCTTAGTATTTAGTGGGCTCTCGCAGCACATGTGCGTGTTGCAGGTTGTGTAAGTTGCTGTTTCTACGTGTCTGGCGGAAGGTGTCTATGGTTGCAGAGTGAGGGTCTCTTGGAGTTTCTGTGTGTCAGAGGGTGTGTGTGTGTGTGTGTGTGTGTTTTGCAGGATGAGGTGTGTTCTGTGAGTGTGGTGTGGTGGGTGCAGGGTGCATGTCTGTGTCCACTTTTATGTTTTTTTTTTTTTTTTTTTTTTTTGAGACGGAGTCTCAGTCTATCGCCCAGGCTGGAGTGCAGTAATGCGATCTCCACTCACTGTAAACTCTGCCTCCCGGATTCAAGCAATTCTCCCACCTCAGCCTCCCAAGTAGCTGAGATTACAGGTGCGTGCCACCACGCCCGGCTAATTTTTTGTATTTTTAGTAGAGACAGGGTCTCACCATGTTGGCCAGGCTGGTCTCAAACTCTTGACCTCAAGTGATCTGCCTGCCTCGGCCTCCCAA